GTTTATAAACAGGCTTCAATATTTATCTTGCAAGGAATAAGTTGCACAGATAAAGTTGCATCGAATATAGAATAATCATCAAACAATTAGCAATAAAAATAAATCCGCGCTAGCTTATTATTCAAAACACACCAAGTATAGATAAATATCTTAAAAATCAACTATAAAGATAGCCAATAACCGAGTAATAAAATAGCGAAACAAAGAGTTAACGAATTTCTATAAATCCAGCAAAATTAAACCGAAAAACCAACGCGATATAATCCACGCACGATAACCTAATTCAAATACGTGTGAGAAACTATACTAACTGGACTAACGAAGAATCTCACACACGACAAGGTTAATCGACGGAGCAGTTTCTGGCTAATCTCGCAGAGGACACTTGATATGCAATATACAAATGTAGCACGGCACAATAGAGGTAATTGTGATGCCACTGACGAATGGCACCCGTGCGGGCCCAGAAGCATCGGTTAAAGCATCGGTTAGAGCAGGGGTGTGGGGGTGGCGGATGAGAGGGTGGCCAGAGAAGTGGAGAACGTCGCTGGAGAGCGACAGGAAAAGCGGGGCACGCGCTTTCACCATTTCGCATAGCGAAATGGAAGAGCAAACGCTATAATGGGGTGGCAACGAGCCCCAGGAGTCCTGTTTCTTTGCTCCCTTACACGCCTCTCTTCTCGTCTCGCATTTCCGCCGGATCGTACGCAAAATATTTCTCCCTCTTGCTCTATCGAAATAGCAAGGTGGAAGGTCGGAATCCTGACGCGGATTCGCTCGATTAAAGCAAAGTTCGTGGCCAATGGTAAACACGTGGCGAGGAATTTTGTACGGTAGGAATAATTAGTCGGGGTTGATTTAACGGTGAATTCGAACGAGACTAAAGTCAGCAACGGAGTGCGTGTAACGCTTGATCAAAGGTAGGCGGGCATTTCGAAAGAAGTTCCTTTGTAATCTCTAGACAAATATCGCACGACACGTCTGTGCGTGATGCTCAAATTCTTCCATTTGTGCTACACCGTGCTCACGATTTACATTCCACGGTTCACGTTGTTTTCCCTTATCGAACAATGGAGAACTTCTTGCAAGAACAACGTAACATACGGGTTACGTAATTTTTGGGAATTGTTTGGATAAAAAATAATTCCATAACGATCAACAGCCTACAGCATGTTCAATATTTCCCTGTATCAAAATTTCTTTAAATAAAAGAACGGTATTCGACGTATTGTACTATTAACCCTTTGCACTCGACAATTTTTTGGTCAGAGAAGAGTAGAAAATCAAAGATTCTCTATTAAAAAACTGACGATACTTTTTCGAGCAGTAAAAAAAAATTTCTTTAAATAAAAGAACGGTATTCGACGTATTGTACTATTAACCCTTTGCACTAGACAATTTTTTGGTCAGAGAAGAGTAGAAAATCAAAGATTCTCTATTAAAAAACTGATGATACTTTTTCGAGCAGTAAATAAAGTATTGTATAATAATAGAATTGTAGAATTATTTGATTTCGATACCTCGCACACTGTTACATTGCATTAAATTTGATATATTAATTAATATCGATCTTCCAAATTTTATGAAATGGTGACTGTAAGTCACCTCTCGAGTGCAAAGGGTTAACTCTTTGCGGCACAGGATTTCAGATGATCGAATAAACCCACGTTGCATAGAAATTTCATCGCGTTTCAAGTGAAACAAAATTGGTATATGTTTACTAATAAAGAAATCACGTCATGTAAAAGAATAAAACCAGGGGAAAAAGATTGTCGTAATAAACCTTGCGCTTGCAACAATCGATGAACTGTACTGGCATGATGAATGCTGCCAACACGAGCGAATACATTTATAACATTTGCTGACAGTATTACTAACTGCTTTACGTAAATAAGGAATAAGAAATATAAACCTATGCGCGTGCAGCTATTGCAATATTTCAGGATGAGACTAGAAATGTCCCAGCATGCATTACGGTGCATCAAAAAGGTAGGACCCTTTTAATCTCAGCGTGCCCCAAGGAGTGAAGTCTTCAAGCCAAAGCTTTGTCTTGCAGAAATTTCAGAATTTTCTCAGACCCAATGTTGCTTCACGTTTACCAAAAATCTGGCCATTTTGCAAGACGCGAGATAAAAATATAGGATTTTTAAACGTAGAAATTGATTAAGAATTAATTAAGCTCTGCGTTGAAAATAGCATCGAATATAAGACGAATGGTATCGCGAGCACATTGAATTTGCAAGAAATATGTCAGTGCGAAGCCGAATATAATGCGTGAAATAAAATTATCTTGACTGACCTGGTGTAACAATTACGCTATTCAGAGCACCAGCAGATCGAGTGTTGACAAGGACCGGTCGGATAATCGTAGGTGCGAGTTCCGATATCAGAGAGATGAAAAAGGCCGACGGTAATCCTTGCCGACTCACACAACTACGCGGTTCTTACATCGAAAAACCGACCGTTCTCCCCTTCAAACAACGCTCTCCTCTGGGATCCCGATAGACTTTTTCGGATGTAAAAGTTGAAGAGGTACAAGTTTGACGGTTAAAAATCGGATCGTCGCGAAGCAATCGGTTTATGATCCACCGCAGATGAATTCCACGTTGTACGACAGATTTCCTCTTCTATTTCCTCCATTTTACTCTTTCGCATTTTTGTTAATCTCTCCGTTCCTCGTATTGCATTCCTAACGTGTAAAATACGTGATTTAACACGTTGACTGTCATGCTGATGATCAGTGACCGGCGCTTGTCTGCTCAGTGGGGCCATGGTGGTTACCAGTGTACGTATATCTTTTAATTTATATTTGCTTCATTCTAATCGATTTTCGAATATTAATCATTTGCATCATTCTTGTTCTGTCATATCGTTCGATAATTCATTATTGTATCGTAAGAATAATGGAAATTTTATCGTGGCCTCCTGAGTGTACCATATTAAAGAAGTGTCAAGACACGTTGCAAGCAAAGATTCACGAAATCTTGGCAAAAGTGCGTAGGAAGATCCGTCGCAATTAAACTAATGCCGTGTAGGGTTTGGAATTTTTTTCTTTTTCTGTTTCGATGACAATCTCCAAAGATAAAATGTCTGTCGATAAGATTTAATGATCTTTTATGTTTGTTTACGTGCATCGGGCTTCAACGACGATTATGCTTAACATGGCAAATATTTGCGGTCCCGAACAATACGTGTCGAAAACGAAACGATACCTGAACGTCGTGCTGCTGACTCTTCCTTCTTATTTGCGTTCGTCGGAGATTCGTCGATTTGTAAAAATTAATACCGTGTCTTTTTGTTTTCCCAATTCTGCGGAAAAATTTGTGACTTTAATGTTTGCGCGTTCAGTGTTTATTATGGAGGATCACTATGATTTACAGATTAACTTTTCAACGATGTAATTCCATTCTACACCCAAGTGAAATTTATTTCGTGAAACGTAAATAGTTTCCATTGGGAAGCATAAATTACTATAAATTTTATTCGATGGAAGAAGAATAGCGAAATCTCTAATTCCATCTTTGAAAAGTATGCACGTATGTACGGAACAAAATTCTCCTTCGAATTGTTTGTATTTAATTATTTATGCTACGACTGTAACCAGTACCACCCTTAAACGATTAGTATAATATAATTGCTGGCGTAATTATAAGCATGATCGTTGCAAAATGAAATTACTCTGAAGAAACGTTATTACAATTTTCAATTCTGCGTTTAAAAAGAATTCCTCGTTGTCGAAGAAAGGTAGTAAAATATTGGAAATACTTGCCCGAGACGTAATTTCCGCACAACGTCCGCGAGTACTCGACAAAACGCATTTTATATTCGCAACAACGGCCGTTTCATTCCAGCATAATCGTCCCTGCGAAAAATCAGAAATGCTCGCGATAACGATCGACCGCAATCTGAGCAAGACTCGAAATTCGACGTGCCATAATATATTGTTCTAATATTTGAACAGACACGATACCTTTGTATCTCGCAAGTCCCGTTCACCCGAATAGTCAAATCACGATTTTCCAACGTGCCTCGACATCTTCTTCCATCGTGAAGCGAAACACGAATTTATCGCGAGTTCATCAAGGACTGTCCTCTTGGTAGAAATCGATTTCTCTTTGGCACGAGCTCTCGGTAATCCCGACGATTTCGTGCCAGCCATGTTGGATCCGCTATATACCATCGAAAAGTCTAAGGTCGAAGCTTATTCGTGATGTCTCGAAGGCCTCGAGCACTGTTATCGAGGAGTGGTGGATTAACGTGCACGCCTTTGATCTCGCCGGCTGGGCCTTATCTAATCGTTTTCCTTTCTCCCGTTCCGTCCCGTTCCCTTCCACGATCTCTCTCTCGCTCTCTTTCGCTTCGTTCAGTTCCTTCTCATTTTGTATTTCGTACTACGGTATAATCGTTTCGAATGCCACGTTGAATTCACACCAACACCGACGCCATGTCGGCTCCTTTTTTGCCATTTTCTCGAGCTCCACTGTCGCTCGTTATCCACTGCAAAATATTCCGTGCCGATTCCTTTTCGTCTTCCCGCGTAAACTTTCATTCCCTGGAACTTAAACCAGTCCGCGTAAAGTAACATTCCTCGTAAAGTTTTTAATCGATGCAGGTTAATCCGGTTATCGAAAGTTATTCTCGTAGATTCGCTTCTTCGCTTCTATCGATAAGTTTGAAATTAATTTGATAGGGTCAGAGATACATCAGAGTTGGTCCTGTCGGTGATTGGAGGACGTGGTGTTTCGAATGGTAACTGGAGGGACTTCGAGTGCCACTGGTATTCGTTTCTCGATTCGGTCGCGCCGTCGTGATTTATCGTTATTATAGATTCAATCGTTGGCGGTGTGCCTCGAACGTTTCTTAAATCTCGAGATGTGTCTACGGTCGAGATCGTGAAAAGCGTTATCTTCGTTAAACGCGGTATTGACAAGAGAATTAGGGAAGCAGATATTAAACGTGTAATAATGTCGGCCGTTATCTTGGTCTTCTCTTTTTTTCAGGAAAGACCCGAACAAAAGACAAATACAGAGTGGTCTACACAGATCACCAGAGGTTGGAGCTTGAGAAGGAGTTCCATTACAATCGTTACATCACGATGAATCGTAAGTCTGAGCTTGCAGCCAATCTTGCGCTCTCTGAACGACAGGTGAGTAATCTACAAAAATAACGGTACCATGTTAAGATGAAACACAACTTGCAAAAATTAATTACTTTCGAGATTTTAGGCAATGAATACTCGAACAAGTGAGCGATGATACGCGAATAACTGATCGCGACAAATATTAATATAACAGTTAACGACGGCGTTAATAAGAAATACCGTTATAAGTAAATTTATGTGAATAACAAATTAAACAATTAGTAGTATTGCCTTCTATTGCCTTTTTACGAATTAATCGTTTGCTTTACGATTCCTCCGAAATCTGTTACAGTTAATTATTTATAGTCTTGATATTACCGGATGACTTTATGTATATATAATTATTTATAGCGTCGAGATATTGTAACATTAACCCTTTGGGACTACGGCCGTATATATGCGTTCTGCGTAAACTATCAATTTGGCCAAAACAACTGATCGCTATGGCCACGTATGTCTAGAATTTGACATCTTGGAGTGCTATCATCGAAAATAGCGACTAAGCAGAAATGTGCACTGGTAATTTGATATGCCTATCGTGGCATTGCTCCATGATAGGTCCCGTACGCAAAGGGTTAATTAATCTTCAAATCAGCGATTATTAACAACTAGCCATTCTACGTCCTAATATAAAGCAAGCTATCAAACAGTCCATATACCTTTTAGAAGCCCGAAATAATTAGCAAATTCTAATCAGGACTGGAAAATTATTGCCTATTGCTTTCCTTTACCAAAAATATTTCAAAATTCTCTTTCTTCGTCCCTAAAACCCTTTTGACAGCGCGCAAAACATCCGCGATATGTTAGACATATTTAGTCGCAGCTATATTATTCTAATTTATCTTCCCAGAAGTCGTAATCCGTAAAGAGAACGTTTCGTGTACACCTTTGTTGCAGGTGAAAATCTGGTTCCAAAACCGACGGGCGAAACAACGGAAGCAGGACAAGAAGCGGGAGGAGCTGGAGCAGAAAGACTCCAAGTCGGACGGTGCAATGGCCAGCCTGACACTCGGAGGAATGGGTGGAATGCTGGGTGGTTTGATGCACAATGGTAGCTCGCCGCCTCTGGCCCTGGGCCATCCGCCTCATGCGTTGGCGTTGGGCCACGCGCCCGCTTCTCTTCATCCGCACGCTCATCCTCACACTGTGCTCGGCTTGTGACCTGAGGAACCGGTCGCCGAAACTTGGTCCAGTCATGGCTGACCTCGCAACCTCTCTCTTCGTCCGTGATCGCAAGAAGAAGACCATTGAACAGCGAGTGACACGCCATAGATCGTCGCGACGAAATCGTACATCGCGCGTGATCCTCTTCATCATTCGCGACCAGAACGGGCTTGATCGTGATATTCTTGGAGTCCGATGATTCCAAAACTTGGAGTTCGTGATATAGGATATATTGAACAGGGAACGTTCGCGATTTTCTTCCATCATCGTCCATGTGTTTACCTGTGGACAAGAAAAAGAATGTTAGAGAAACAGTGATGGGTAGTTAGGAATTTTCGCGTTCGCCCCGGTTTAGTTTTACGGATGACGACTGATACGTGGAACGATGGTCTTCGTTTAACGGATTGTCAAGACTGGAATCTGTACTTGTCCGTCCAACGGTGACTGCGCGTGGAGACGGAAGATTTTCATCTTCTTTTCGGGTATCTGTTGGGATCGTTTGTTAGCATTCTTCGTTACTCTTGCGTGCCGAGCCGCGGAGGAATTCACGATGGCGGCGGCCACGCGTCCGGTAGTCCGCGCACCCCGTGCCTACGGTACCCCTTCATTTTTATGCACAGTATTATTCTCGATGTCGGTAGAACAAAGTTCTGAATTTTGCTTTGTAATATAATATCGTAATATTTCCCTTTTCGTCTCATCCCTGAGAACGTCGTACGGGATCTTCCTTGTGGCAACTTTGCGGAGTATCTAGAGGTAGTATTCGAATTGCTGTTTCTGGTCTTCTTTGTTTTTCCAAACAATATCATTGAAATTTCTCTGTAAAATTTGTTCAAAATGAAAGATACGACTAAAACTTCAAAGGACGAGTTCGCAGATCGTCGTATGACAATCGGATATTTGGATATCTTACGAAGACGAATAGAAGGGGGGAAAAACGTGCAATCTTTGCCTTAAACCACGAGTCTCACTATTTGTATCGAGTGGTTGCGTTGAAGGAGAATGTTTAACGTGGGTCAGTTTAATGTTGCATTAAGTTAGATTTTTAAAGGAGATGAAGAAAAAAGGTGGCAAGCAGAAAATATATATATATATATTATTCTTTTATATGTATATATATATATATATTCTCTTCGGTTAAGGTTTTAGCATTGGTGCGTTCCAAGGGGGCGCCATAGCAGACTGTTTTATATATATATTTTTTAAAAGCATAACGTGTACAAATTAGGCGAGTTAAGATGTCCGATGTTAATTCTAATTTTTTTCTCTTTTTTTCGATGTACGCAATCATTGTTGTTTTTTTCTCCATCACTAAATGTTTATCAAAAACTGACAGTTACGAATTTTACTTCCACGCGCGTCCATGCGGTTGAACTTTTATTGTAAATATAGTTTTTAAGCTTTTTAAACGTTTCCCAACGAGAGAACTCTTTTCGATGACAATTGATAGGATCAGATGATCTTTCATATTTTACATATTCACATTCTATCGGTATTAAAAGATTAAAAAGAAAAAAAGAAAAAAAAGTACGCGTAAAACGAGATAGATCTCATCCCCGCTTCGTTTCATTTATCTCGGCTCAAAAGAGTTGGTAATATTATTATAATATCGTTGCAATATTTTCGGAAGACTTTCGAAAATAACATTATGAATAATGGAAACACGATATCTCCGTTATGAATTGTAAATAGAATAAAGATTATGACGCTGGAACCCCTTGGTACTGCATTAATACACTCATGGTCCTTTAATGAACTTAGAATAAAGAAATATAAGAAAACCAAACTGCGATCGCGTTTCGTGTGTGAAACAACCACGAAATTCGTGCGAATCGACCTTTTTCCTTCAATTACTCGCTTTAATTTTCGTTTCTTCGCTTAATGACAACAGCACGATTCGACGCAACGTTTCCACGTAATTCTAATTTGGTGATAAAAAGAGATTCTTCGTTTCGTTGATTTGTACAGTCACGGTTGGTTTTGTACGTATAAATCTTCGTTGTAGAGAAATTAATCGCTTTTGCAATTTCATTTTTTTCAATCTTCGAGTAATCGTCAGCTCAGCAAAGGATATACGAATAGAGAAAAAGGAAGGTAATGGAGCAATGGTGGCACACGATTCAAGTGTTCACACGTTAATTAATCGCGACGGCAAAATTAACACCTTCGTGAATTACAAGCTTCGAGGTATCTGCAAGGTTGTATCGATTTTTCATGTAACGCGGAGGCAAAGGTCGAGCATGCTTTTACACGGAATCGAGCGTAACATTTCCTTTACGATAATTGATTAATTTATCAGTCGACTCATTCGCAATTTAAGCTTTTACACTAAACGAGATCGATTTTGTTTTCGCGATTCGTTTTGAAACGTTTGGAAAATCATCCCCTCGTTTGAGAGCCCCATTATGCTAGAGTTGCGCGGGCGCAATATGATGGATATATTCGTAGACGAATGGGAAATGCGAATTTTCCAGAATGATCCATGTAGAAAAGTAATAGCACGTCGAACACCGTTTCAACTGCTATTCCTTTTTTCAGTGATGTATAATTCACGAAAATTAATTTTATTGCCATCCGGTCGCTGCACCGTTCCGCCATTACCAATTTCGACGTGTGTATATACAAGAGTTCGAAGGGAAATTGTGCAACCAACGCGTTACATTAGCTTAGCTTCGTTGAGAAATAGCTCGAAATCACGTTCTACGTAGAGTCGTGAGATCGAGGCTTGGAAATGTAGTAGATGCAATAAACGCGGTATTTTTCTTTCTTGTCTCTTTCTTTTCTTTCTTTTTTCCCAAATGGTCGTTGAAATCGCCTCGTGGGGAAAGTGCGAGATTGCTTCTATATACATACGTGTTTTAGATCGTGCTTGGAGGAACGAAAATATACGTAAAGTATGCCTTAGAAAGACCAGAAGGATAGAAGTGCGCCGCTGTTATGCAAGTTTCTTGATCGTACCGATTTTAATCCTCAACTTTTATTACCGTTCTTCCTCTCTATTCCCCCTTTCTCCCTTTCTTGACGCGTTAACGCCATTTTTTATGTGGCCCTACTGCTATACTCTTCGACGTTAGGTTCTTCGATCACGAAGATTTCGAATTTTTAACGACAATAAAATATAAATGAACGACGACGTTGTTTTCGAAGACAGAAAAAAGAAAATGCCGGTGTTTTACGTGCCGTGTGCCTTGAGAGCGTTTGCCAACCCATAATCAGCAATTATGATTTTACTGTAAAACGTGTATGGATGTGAACGAGAAAGAAACGATCGTAACGCAATATTAGAAAATCTCACGTGAATTATGTGTACATATACATAAGCATCGCAATTCGTAAGTTATTATTGTAGTAATTGATAACATCGATACTATGAATGTTACACGATCGTTAATCCTAGTATTATTCTGATATGTGATCGCATTGCAAATTTCAAAATACACGGTCTTATGTTTAGTAACCACATTGTTTATTTCATTCCAACCCTAAATCGAAACCTAATTAAAACCCCTAGCCTGCAGAAACATAAACTCTGAATGGAATTCACAACCATTTTGGTATAGTTACTAAGATAATGATGGATATGTACGAATTACAAATTTCCTAGCACAAAGATGGCTGTTATTTAAATCTCGCCTTAATGAATATAATAGAAAACTCAAGAAATCATTAATCAAAGGAAAGAATTAAAAAGTGAAGACTCTATTTAAAAACACCACGTAAATTCTTTCTATTAGATCCTTAGATATTCCGATACTATCGAACACTAAAATTAACAGAGTCTAATGACATAAATTAAAACCGAAATCATCACGTATCGACAATGTGTCTTCAACGGCAAATGCTGAAATCCAAATGTCGGGTTCTATTAAATCTATCGAACACCATCCATGTTTAATGAGCCGACAGGTTAATAGCCGCTTCTTTAATTCCTACAAATCGTCAAGGACCGATATAACAGCTAGAATTCCACTAAAATTCAACGGTGAAACACGGCGACGATTAAATCCGTGGAATGGTAACGTAGCGTTTACGATCTCGCGATTTGTTTGCGATACCAGCGGCGGAAAAGTTTTCCGGTTTGTCACCGCGACGGCCGCTCGAATGGCTCTCGTTAGATCGTACATAAATACGAACATAAAAACATGTAATGCGGTTTATGCGAACGGCCAAACGGTAACCGATGCCAGCGTGTATCCACGGGATACACACAGAGAGATCGGCGCAAATAAAGCAAGAGGAGACGAAGCTGCGAAGGTGGCAACGAGTCCCGTGGGAGCCCTGAACTTAACTACCAGATCGATGTCCGACCCCAGCCCCTCTTCATCCCCTGAAAGCAACCCCTGCTTGCACGCAACCGAGTTCCACCATCCTCTGCTCTCGATCTTCCACTTCCTCCCCCTCCTTTCTTTTATCTTGTTTTTCTCCTTTTCCATCTTTTGTTTCTCCTCATATCTTCTTTTCTTGTATTTCTTGCTCTTATTTCGTGCTTACTTTTTCATCTATAGAGTCTCTCTTTATTTTTTCTTTTATATATCATCTCTCTGTATTTTTCTCCCTTGTTTTCCCTTTTTCTTTTTGGTTACTTTTTTAAACCTCTCTGATTTCAATTATTTTTCTCCTTTCGTTCCTTTTTGTTATTTTCTTCATTTTCTTGTTTTTCTTCTTTATCTAATGGCTATATTTTTTTTCATCCACTCTTGTTATTCTGTTTGCTTTGATTTTATCAGACGTTTGGTAGAGAAATGCTTTTCAAATTTGTCGCTTGTGGTTTCTCCTGTTTGCAGAATACTTAATTAAAGAATATAAAAATATGCAAAGGAATATAAGTACTATGGTAAATATATTATTGTACATTAAAATTATTTAATATACAATTATTCTGAATTTATATCTATTCATCCTGATATAGTACATATAATTTCTACACTAGACAATAGTTCAGCAGATTTTTCTTTAGTTTTATTAGCGTATTCTATTTTACATTCAGATATTTTGAAATACTTCAAGAAACATAAAAAAATCTGAATGTTAGAATATTTTGTATATTTTATAACATAATTTATTATATTATCAAAAAGTATACACACACACTAAACATTCTATAATATA